TGTATTTTAACCAGAAAATTGTACAGCCCTATTAGCTGGTTAAGTGTAACCACAATCAGATCAGGGATCAGATCACATCAGGAAGTATACGAGTAGTTTTTGGAACAGTCTTTGTGGGAGGCAATGATAATCAGCCTATTGGAATTGTCACATCTGCCAATGCTAACTCATTCTTTTGTCCAGCTGTTCCACCTCCAAGACCTCTGAAAACAGCTGCCTGAGGGTGCAATGAACAAACATAAATACAGAAATGATTGAATCAGATACATTGAAATTGAGTCTAAACCTGTGTGTCCTTTTTCTGAGTTGGTGTCCCGACCAAACATAGTATGTCACTGGGAACGTCCACTGAAAATCATATTTACAGATCCTCTTACCCACTCCTGTTTTCTGTTTACATCTGAGCCAAGATTATACATTCGCTATTCAACCTAGTTTAACACAGCAGTGTGCATTTCCAGTGATTTTAACATGTGTTAGTCTGGGACTGGCTACTCAATGGACTTACTGCTCAAGTGCCAAAGAAAAGACAAATCATCTATGTCAACACACTGCAAAAATATGCCACACAGCGGACAAGTGCACAGGGTTCAGAACTTCAGTGTTTGCTTTTTTTCCAAAATAGGAAATATGAGATGAGTGCATATGTCTCAATATAGGAGCAACAACAACTGCAAAACAGATTATGGGAGTCCCCTTATCCTTTGTTTGGAAATTAAAAGTGATCAATCAAGTCATTGTCAGATGCAATTTCTATTAAAACACAAGAAGACATGAGGTTTTACAATTATAAGAGCCAAGACTGATCTCCCGTCACTGTATTGATTTATTAATATTGAATCCCTGGGGTGTAACCCGCTCTTGGCTCTTGAAACAATAGCTAATGGGGCCAGTTTTGCAGTTTGGGGATTTGGCAAAGAGGATTTGGATTTGGCAGAGCAGGGGGAGTCTTCTATTCATCTCTAAAATCTGTGAAGCAGTTCCAGTTGCATGCTCTCAGGGCATGGTAATGTTGCAGAGGCAGAGTCCCTCATGTCTAAAGGCATGCATGTCTCTACTGGCCTGCAGAACCTCTCATGGTTTCCTTTCTGATCTCCCACAGCTAGACAGAAAAAACTGAATAAGGACAGCAGATAACTGATAAAAATCGCATGAGTTTGCTGGCTTCAAAAGGAGCAAAGGATATTGTTATGATGCAAGCAGAGTAAAGGGAAAAACTGAGAAAATCAATGACAGGAGGACCTAACAGAAGAAAACTACTTGCACATCTAAACCAAGCCAATGGAGCTGCAAGGTTTGGCTCACAGGGGTGGGTAGGATCAGAAAAGTAGATGAAAAATAACTGAAAAGATCATGTAGCAAAACCAAACTTGGAAGGAGTAAGAACCAGCTTGACTTTGTTAGTGGTGGTACTGACTTACATTTAGAACCAGACGCCCGTGTGGAGGAGAGCCATAACATTTCTACTGAAAGTAAAAATAACTGCTGAGAAAGAGAAAGCTTGTTTTTTTTTAAAGCAGTATAAAAAAGTATAATAAGAAAAAGGGTGATTAACCCCACAAGACCTGAATCTTATTGAATTGTTAGACCAGGAAGTGGCAGGAAATTTGGCCCGGATATTGACATTCCATAGATGATTTGGTGATACTGTAGTGCCACAAGCAGGTCAAGGTTTCATGCTTGTCCTTTAAATTATCGGCCATGTTGCTTTTGTGATGCGAGAGATGATGTTGGTTTGCCTTATTTCAGATGACTACTAACAATATGGGCAGAAAGCCTGCACAGCAGAGGCAATGCAAAACCTAACGTTAGGAGCAAAATACAAAACAGCAGCAGCTTGAAAGGTGGGCTCAAAGACAACTGAAAGAACTGGAAACATGGTGCATGAGATTCTGGTAAAGACGTTCTTACGTTCTCAGGGACAAGTTTCCTCGTGCGGTTTAAACCTAGAGAAAAGACGTTACATCAACATGCTGATGGTTCTCTGCATAGCTTGGTTTAGCCTCTGGCCTCTGCCCCACAGACTAATGGAGCATTGCGTTTTGTTCTAATCTTGTCTTTGGCTCAGTGCAGCAGTGTTTAGGAGCTTTATCTCTTCACTAACATGGACAAGACTGTTTCCCACAGTTGATCAAACACTCCCTACTGACACTATAGAAATTAAATGGGCACACTTGTGTGTACAAGCATGCGCAAAGCACAGAGACCTGTAGGCACACACACAGATGCATGCCCTGTAAAGTCTAATCTCATATACAAAGATACTCCTCAATAACAATTAATCCTTCAACCAGAACCACCAAAAAAGGGAGTGTGTTTTGTCAGAGGCACCAGGAAGAAACGAAGCCTACTTTCACTCCATTTGTTTTTGAAATCTGAAAGCTCAAATCCACTTATGCATGTGTGAACCTCCCCAATACTTCTGCCTGTAGCTGTCATCACACGCTCCCTCACAACAGACAAACTGTCTCTGCCCCGACTTCACTGTCAACAGCTTTGGTTGGGATGCGTCCCGATCATTTGCAGATGATCTATGATGATTTGGTCTGCTTCCTTTTCTTTTATCACAATACTAAACTAGAATTACCGCTTTGCAGTTTTATGCCTCTCGCCAATCAGTCAAATTCACAGGAATGGGCCAGATGTGAGGTCACTGACTTTGACCTTTGACCACTAAAACCTAATCAGTTCATCTTCGAGTCCAAGTAGACACGCTAAATTTTGAAAAATTCCATCAAGGCATCCCTGACATCATGTCGCCAGCATGGACCTAAATCAAGAGACCAACTTGTAACCAGATTGTGAACCGAATGGAACAATGACATGTATGTAATAGACTCATGATTTGTTCTCGACTAGACACGTGAAACCATGAAAGGCATTGTCAGGTTTGCTCGGCCGCTCTGACCTCCCTCACCTTTCCTACTGTCTCTTGCCCCATTACTCTTATCACGTTCACCTGTTCCTCACTCCCTTATCACCAGCTGCACTTGATTAGGTTGCTCACTATATTACCCGGTTTCACTCCTCAGTTACTTGCCAGTTCGTTTTCGTCTCTAGGCCATTTTTTCTCCATGCTCTTTCGTTTTTTTGTATATATTTATCCCCTAGCCAGCTACTGTTTTGTGTTCTCCCCATGGACTGTTCCTCCAGACCGTGACTCCACTCTCTCCTCCCAGGCAGGTCAATGCACAGTCGCCTATCTTTTTCCACTATTGCCTTCATCTCTCTGTCTCTACCTTCAGTAGCCACCATCACCGTTGACCAGCCCAGGAGTGACCCAGCCTACACAGCTCGACCCAGCTCTCCATCTCCTCGCCTCCTGCTGTTGGTCAAACACCCGGCTACTACTCATCGACAGGACTACGTACTATTTCCCTCTGTGTATTGTTACTTTCATCATCACTGTACATAATAAATCACTGCTTGCATCAAAGTCGGCTACCTGGGTCCGCCTCTTTCTCGTTCGCTCACTGACAGGTGCGAACGGCACATAACAGGCATAGGTCATACGTTTCAAGACTGGGCAACATGGTGACTGATTAGATGTGGCTCTATTCTTTTAGTCTTTCACGTAGAGGTGGCTTTGGCTCAGGAGGTTGAGCGGCCGTCCCCCAGCTGAAAGGTTAGCAGTTTGACTCCCATTCCCCCGAGTCCACATGTTGAAATGCCCTTGGGCAAAACACTGAACCCTAAGTTGTTCCTGATGGCCAGAGCAGCGTCTTGCAGAGACAGCACCACCATTGGTGTGTGTGTCAGCACCGCAAATGAGGCAGCCCTCAGTTCTGCACCGGAGACAAATTCCTTCTTTGTATAACACACTTTGCCAATAGAAATGATTATCATTAAGCGCTCCATTCTCCCTGCTTTGTTTAATCTAATTTACACAGACTAGTTGCTTTCACCTCTAGGAACAGGGAGATCATGCATCAACATGAACAGTATCACAGAGAAGAAAAGGGACTGAGAAAGAAAGGGAATGAAAGAGAGAAGGCAGAAAGTAATAAAGCACAGTTCGGGTGGAGAAGAGAGAAAGGGTGAAGGAGTGTAGTGTAATCTCTCGCTCCTCATCAGAGCTTGTTACAGAGCCATTAGCAGGGCTTTCAGACCATGACGCTGACAGCCTCCCTGAAGGGTACACACATTACTCTGTAGTAAAAACCTCACTGTGTATTCCAGTTCCCAATGTTGTCTTATTCGACCCATTCTGTCCAAAATGACCTAACACTTTAGAGATGGAATTTGCTGCCGAATAGCAGGCATAGCAAAAGGGGAAAAACTTCCCCTCCACCCCCAAGATGCAAATGCCTTCATACGGATGTGTGTGCGCTCTGAGTTCAGTTCACTCCAGGAGAAAGCCTTTAGTATCATGCATGTATTTAGTGTTACATAAGAAGCTGTGTTTTAGCTACAGTAAGAGATCCAGCCAGCTGCGCCAAAGTATTTGAGTTACGTTAGGCATCAAGCTGTTCTGGTCTTTGTTCCTGAGGTTTCATATAACTCCACAGCATTATCTTTGTTTGTACAAGTGACTCAATGTACCCCAAGGACAGTTACGCTTCAAGAGTTTAAACACATTTAGGAAAAAGTGCACCAACTGCAGTATAGCTGCAATCAACTAAACATATCAAGAAAAGACAAATGGGTGCATCTTGATAAAGAAAAAGGATAAGAACCTGAAACAGACAAGAACAGTTGCAAGAGGAAACAGACTGTAAAATGAGTTGGTGCACTGAAAGTGTAGCATATGTGAGAGCTGCAGAGAGAGGGACACACACCAGGGGATGACTGGTTTGACTGAGCATCAGGAAGAAAGGATGCAGCTCTATGTCCTGTGAGGGCAATAAAAACAAAACATCTGTACTGACTTATGGGAGCTGATAGATATTAAAGAGCAAAATCAATAATTGATTAATATACGGTCATTGATTTCTGTAAAAGGCAGAATAGCTTATACCTGCGCCTGCTAATTTTTCATGCTCTGTATGTTTGACCTATAGGTGCGTAGCCAGGGTGTAACAGAGGAGCTGAGGTGCCTGAGTTTACTGAATGCTCTGGATAAGGACCAGGACATCCCAGACCAGCTGGCCCAGCTCTTTGGAGAGCCCTGCATCAAACTGGCAGAAGGCATCAAAGCATACATCTCCAAGGTAAGAACCACGGACACTCAAAGGGAACACAGTACAGCTACGTTCACATTACCTGCTCACATCCAAGTGACTCAGAGCTGACCTCTTCATAGATGTGAGAACAATTAGCTATTTTTCAAATCTGATCCGGGCCACTTCCATATGTGATACTAGACTCCATTTTTTTCCAATATTTGACCATGTGACATACTGTCAAAGGTTGCACTGGGATTCCTGTGTGTTCTTTATTTTTTTAAAATGTCTCACTTTTCTGCACATGTGCATATTATCAGTTGTCATCACTCAGTGTCAGCCCCTCACAATAAACCCATAATGAATGGAGTGGAAGGAAAACATTATTAGTAAAGAGTATTGGAACTGAGAGTCAGACACCTCGTCAGTTTGACACTGCTGTGTTTCAGCTGGCTGCTCAACTTGTTTTCTCATTTGGCTTCTTTTGTTTAAATGTAGCATCTGTGCAGAGGCAGTGGTGGTAGTGTTGGTTTAGTGAAGGTATAGCAATCCTGACCTCATTACCTGTCCAAAAGAGATGGAATTTGCTGCCGAATAGGAGGCATAGGGTGTGTATGAACATAACATTCTGGTTCAGGAGGTTAATGTATCACAAAAATTATATATATATATATCGTTTACGACTGGAGCCCGTGTGTACCTGTGCATCCTCATTCCTTATTATTAATACCAGAGTCTGTTTTGCTCTTTAGATTTGTGAACACTGACTTTTCATGAGACCGTACTGTGCCTCTGGGTGTATTTATGAACATGTTTACACACACAAAGACCTGCCAAGGTTTTTCTAGCCCTGTGGTGTGTGGGTGCATGCACATTTGCCTGCTTTTGTATGCATGCCCAGTGTTTGTGTTAAACCTGCCCGACTACTATTTGCCTTACCTTTAAATCTGATGCCTTGATGGTCCTGTGCCAGACGTCAGTCAAATACAGTTCACACAAATACAGGTGGCTGGCTGAGTCACCTCAGCCAGTTGGTGCCATAAATATGTCTTGAGCGAATCCTAAGCAAACATGCTTCATGTTGTTTCACTTCAATAAACATTCAGCCCTGCCACCAGTAAACGTGATGGAGAGTTTTATCTGCTGCTATTTTTAATTTAGTGGGTAGGTCCAAAAATAGCAAGTAAATGGGTAAACACTTGAGTTGTGCCTTCTTTGTAGAGATCTTGAAACAAACCTTGACTAATAATGACTTTTTAGATAGCGCCACTATAGCTTTTACTACTTGAACTGTGATTCCAAATTTAGTTTTTTCCATAGAAATGGTGGTTTTTATCCCCAGTCATCATTATAACCCACCTGGGGGATCCTGTCACCCACAGAGATGAACTAGCACCAACTTTTAACCTCTCTGTGAAACTTGAGGCTTGCAACATAAATAACAGGCCAGCAGACTGAAGGAGATCGTCAGGGAAACCAGCATAAAAGCGGCAAACAGTTTGAAAATAATCACCACCACCAACAAGGAGAACCAAGACATACTGCATACAGTATGTCATGTCCCAGTGACACAGACCAGAACACCCAAAACATGTGGTTAAGCCACACAAATGGAGCACATGGCCCCTGTAACACAAAGAAAGAACTGTAGTGTAAATTGTTTTAGATTTAGGAGGGTTATCCGGCATCATTATACATAGTCTTATATCCCATATACGAGTTATGTATAGTCATTTTTTATAATTCCCACCCAGGAACTATATTATTTAGACATCACAGGTTCGTACACCCCTGCATTCCTTTGCTGGATCAAACAGACTATGAGAAAGAGGAGATTAGACCGATTGCTAAATTTTGTACCAGCTCCCCCATCTACGTGTCTGTGTCCCTGAGCAAGACACTAAACCCCAAACTGGTCCTGATGTATGTGTATATGGAGGGAAATATACATTACTTATGAGTTTTTAGACACAAAACCCACTATTATCAGTAGCTTAGGTATACACTGTTGCTCGTCCAAACTTGGGAGTCACATGGCTAAGAACTGCTCACACATTGATAAACATGCATGAATAAAACACAAGTAAGCACATTTCTGTTCCCATACACTCCTGCAATAAGTAAACTAGTTGCATGTTGACACACACTAAGGTCAGACTACTCTCAGTACATATGTTGAATCAGCATGAAAACAACCCTGACTCTGGGAAGCTGTGGTTCAGGAATCCCCTGCTGCTCCCTCACGCACAGCCATCCATGAGTCCACAAGGCTCTCCATTGATAAGTCATCTCCTTGCAGACACATCTAAAGGACTTTTTCCACTTAGTCCGAGTGTCTGGACACTTCCAGCAGCATATCGCCATCCCCCTCAGTTCCTACCACCTCCACACACACACACACACACACACACTGTCTGCCTTTTGTTTAAGCCTCCCTTGTCCGTTTATTTTAAGTGCACCTTTCTGTTTTTTACTTTTCACCTCCTCGCCCCTTTTCTCTCTGCTCTGCTTGTATGATACAATCGGAGAGTGCTGCTCCATGCCCCTGTGCTCCTCAGTGGACAGGAACAGGAATGTCTAGAGGGGGTTTTCCATTGTAACTGTGTTATTCAGAAAAGGCATGCAGTTCCTAGTGACACATCCAAACAAATTTACATATGACTCATTTCCAAACATTCACACATGCAGACAATTTTGAGCTAAACCAAATTCTATTACTTTCCATGTCAGCACTTTCCATATCCATTCACTTACAACTATCACAGTTTGAAAAGGGCAGGCAAAAAGGGCAAACTGACGTCAGTCGAGGCATTTTAACCCCTCTCTGCCCCAGCAGAGCTGCTGGGTGGTTAACATTTCAACACCGTGGCCGCACTGTTACCTGTGAAAAGCTGTTTGATGATCACTTTTCTTTCTAGCCCACTTTGTAAGCCAACGCCGTGCTGTCCTTTGTCACCTTACAACACCAGATTAAGGTTCTTAGAAGAGGAATTGAGGTGAAAAACCAAAATGAAAAGGTTAGACTGAGCTGGCAGACCAAAGACGCGCTCTCTTTCCTTCTAAAAATATTCAGTGAAAAGACAGGAGATCCAGATTTTAACCACGGCGACAATCTATACAGATCCTTTAAAGTGCAAACAGATGAACACTACGGCTGGAAACTAAACACAGTTTGATTTGCATCAACTTTATAATGTTTAGCAATCAGAGCCTTAATGCGGTATCAATAAGGAGACTGATGTTAAGCTGATAGAAACCCTATTGACAAATATAGGTCAAGTCCAACCACAGCTAATTGTAAAGGCCTGTGGCTACAGCTAGCTGGTGGTGTGCAAAGGGGCTCTTCTGTAACTCATTAAAATATTTTAAACTTCTAGTACTTGGGGGGGAAGTTCTCAATGCTGGCAGTATCATGAAAGTGTGTGTTTAAGTCGAAAGGCAAAAAACAAACACTGTTACTGATTTTGGATTATATCATAAATAAGGTTTAACTACATACAATCTGCAATAAACCTAGCTCTACACTAATAAGATTCAGAATTCAAAACAACTTTTTGCCTGATCTTTGGCTCAAAACCGACAGTCCAGTAAGCCCAAAACAGATGCCTGGCTTTGGTTCACTGATCAACTATGTGGTTTGGATTCAATCCGTCTAACTGGTTATGTCGCTTTTACAAATCGACAAGCAGCTATTGGGAAAACAAAAGAGTATTAAGGATGAGATGAAGAGAAAAGGATGGAAGATGAAAAAGGGAAGCATTAGAACACTTTTGGCAGTAGTTTATCATCTAGAATGTGTGCCGGCTGTACTGCGGCGCACACATGCATACAAACTGTATTTAATGGAAGCAGTGAGTGAGTGAGCGATGACTGATGACATGGCAGACGAAGATAATGGTCATGGTAGCGGTGTTGGTGAAGATGGTGCCGAATATGCAGAAATTTCAGTCGCTGATGGGAGGGTACTGAAAGACGTTCAGGTCAGAGGTCAGACAAAATGAAGGCAAACTGGAGAAATAGAAGGGAGGAATAATGGAAACCATGTACGAATGAGAAGGAAAGAAACTAACAACCCCAGCTGGACAGGAACAAATAAAAAGGGGGAGATGAGAGATGTGGAGGCGAAGACAGGAAGAAGAAAATAAAGGTGCTGCCAGAGAAAAATGAGAAAGAGCAAAAAAATATGGTGAGCTAGTGAAAAGAAAGAAAAATCTTCACAATGGGGTCCAAGTAAGGTTTGTTTGACGCCCACGTGAATCATCCAACACATGATTTACTTATAGTTTTTTTTTCAATTAAATTTATTCCCCTTTAGGAAGCCATTCATTTTGGACCATTTCATTAACAAGTCGAACAGCTTGAAGACACTTCAAGCTAGCCTGGGGTCTAGCTAATCCAACACAAAGAACAAGTAGTCTGCTTATTTTTGTTTCTACATTTCAGCAGGGGAAAGGAAGAGGGGCAGGGTATAGTACAGGAGGACTGAGGACGGCATGCGTGCCCAACTACTGGAATCTTAACCTCTCAGTCCGAGTGGAAGCTGAATTAACTTTCCTTCACTCTTCTACCCCGTTGTCCCCACTGTAACATCTGCGCTCACTGAGCCTAACAAGTGCACAAAGATTAAATCTTAAACTGGGAAAAATATCATTATAAAAATGACATAAGAATACTAAAAAAAAGTGCTGTGGTGAATTACTTCTAACCAAAGGTCAGTTTCTGTAAAGAAACAAAGCTCCACTGGCCTCTCTTTGTCTAACGCAGACATATTGTTGGTACTGAATCTCTAAATCTGCTCCGTTTCAAAGCAGTGATGTCATAGCGACATACTTGGCTTTTGGCAGCTGATGCAAAACAGCTGTTTTGACATCAGTGGTCAGGGTGTGGACAGACACACAGCAGGCTTGGTTTGAGCCTTCAGATAGCAATTCGGTGTTAAATTGCTTTTTGAAGCTGGTTTAAGGGCTTTTTGTGCCACAGTATATTTTGTTGCACTTTAATGCATATAACAACATCTATCATCCAGCATGCACATTTCATTATCTTTA